CCAGCAAATGGAGATTGGCCCCGAAAATCCTGATAGGAGTACCCCTAGTATGTTTAGTTGTTGTTGTTGTTGTTGTTGTTTGATATTTCATAATTTGACAGCATGTTTATTTTTAATTAGAAATACTTATTTGTGATAACTTTCTTTGATTTATCCTTATTTATTTTATTTTTTCTTTTCTTTTTCAGTGACGAGAGAAAAAATGCTGTGAATGTGGCGTTGTAAAGCCTGCCCCTCAGATTTACCAAGTAGGTCCCATGTATTAGTATCCAGAATTGCATCGTCTTTTAGGACTAAACGTTGAACTGTTGCCGGTGTTCTGACGATCTATGCTGCCTTGCCAAAAAATGCTTCCATTTTACTCGGCCCTGCTCCGTTTTCCATTGGAGATAGCAACACCACACACAACTGCTGTGACGTAATGTTCAATGCGACACACACACCAGTGATCCACACAGCTCTTAATATATACAGTCTGCGGTTAAAACATTTGAATATTCCTCAGAATGTAAAGACAGATAAGCGGTATGAAAACCTTCCAGCTGTGTTTTCTCTGCCGTTGTTGCTGCAGCGGTCTGTGTGACGGCGAAGCAATCCCTGCAGCCACTTGGAGAGCTCCTCAACTCAGAAAATATTCAAGCACATTTTTGTTCCGCCATCACTTCTTGTAAAACTGTCAATATTGGAAATCTACACAGCTGATTTCTCACCTCAAAACTTCTCAGAAGTGGATTTAGTGATGACATTTCATAAGAAAACTGTAAAATATAAAACCTTCTGTTGCTGGCCTCTGTCTGGTGCAGCAATGATGATGCAGTGAATAGTGAATATTTTCTCTGACCAATCAGCAGTTTGTCGTGTTTTCACGTTAGAGTTTAGTTTCCCTCAGCTCGCTTGGAACCTCGACGGAAGTGAGGTGATACGAAAAAAAGTACCTGGAAGCAGGTACAGGTACAACATTTCTACAATGGAAACCCAAACAAAGGCGAGTGGAGCCAAAGGGCCTCCGCTCAGACTAGCTTGGTTTGAGGGCGTGCCTGACCCCGCTAGCCGCTTGGCAAGCTTTATGGCGCGTTTTCATTGTGACGTCACAAGTAAAGGAAGTGAAGGGCTGAACTACAAACAAGCTGTTTTCAGTTGAGAGCAGAGTTTTCTGTGGGAGATGGGAACTCCCTTTGGGCTGGACTTTGGGCTTTTTCACTTTGCAAACCTGTTACATGCACAAAAAAGAGATAACTCAATAAAGGAGAGGGGAAAAGCCAAAAAGCATAATATTACCTCTTTAAAAGATGCCCTATGTCCTAATGAGGTCTGAGTTTAAATAATTGTCCTTTCTTTTCACCAGGAAATGGCTGAGACCCATTTCTTCAAAACCATAGAGATGACGACTGTGGGGATCTATGTCGTGAAAGACACTGCCACCAGCGAACCCTCTGACGTTGGACTAGTCATCGAGGGTGTGGTGGCACTTCGAGATCTTGAGAATGTAGCACTTGCGTCTGCAATGTTGTTTGGACTCTTGTATGCATTAAACATGCAGTACCCTACAAAGCTCCGCTACACTTTTGAGATAATTCAGAAGATAATCATGGAGCTGGATGCGGGGGACCTGTCAAGAAAGGCTCAAAGCCTGAAAACTAAGCTCCACTAGTGAAGAGAGCTCATTGTTCTTGGCTCTTCTGGATTAGGACATGATTTTTGGCAAAGTAATAGTCTCCAACTCTACATTCCTGGACTCACTGGTTTTGCAACATGGTTTTGGGACTACCAGTCCAGTGATATTTTCCTTTTACAGTTGTGATTACTTCATAGTACCAGGAACATGTGATTTTTACCATTCCATGTGTAAATGTGTTCAAATTTAATACATTGTTCAAAAACCCTTATCTTCCCATGGAATATTTAGAGTGCATTGTTTTATATATGGAGTCTGCAGTTCAATTTTAGAAATTATTTTACCTGTTTTAGACAACAAAGCTACACCAGGGAAGGGGACTCAATGTATTTGTCTTCCTGGTTTGGACATGACTGTTGCTGGGATTGACTGGGATGCACCTTTTCATTGTTTAGCTACAGTTTACATTCCTTGACTGAGTGATGTTACAGCCTGGTTGTTTGTTCCCCAATCCAGTGAAAGTGAAGTTGTACAGTTTTGATTGCAGTACCAGGCACATTTGAATTTAACCATTCCATTTTATTGTGTTAATATATAATGCATTGTTCAAAAACCTTGAGCTTCTCACAGGACAGTTCATGTATATTTGTTTTTGTTGATGCAGATGCATTTTGGAAATGCAATTGGGATTTTACCATTTCATTTACAATTTTACACTCAAAAATCTTAAGCTTCCCACAGTACGTTTAAGGTGTTTCTTGATGTTTTTTTTTTTTTTTTTATAGAAATGCAGATGCATTTAGAAAAAGCTGTTGTATGTATGTATGTATGTGTTCTTAGCTACAGTATGCAGTACACCCCAGGAAGCAGTGTTTCAGGCCTGGTGTTAGTACCACAAAGTTTTACAGTTTTGATTACTGTCCAGTACTAGGCACATTTTACTATTACATATGTTATATATCTTTGTCAAACCTTGATATCCCCATGGTATGGTGAACATATAATTTTGGAAACTCAGCGCCATTTCTTTCTAGCCACACACCTGTGAAGCACATTCATTTGTTGAATAAAAGGTCAGAATTTAACGGACTCATAGTTTTTAATGAAAATATATTGTTAGTGTTTAGAATAGTTAAGTGAAATGTTAACGACGAGTCATCCAGGTCATGGTTATCCAAGAAAGGTTGAAATCAATGGCAACTGGACTGGCTAAGGTTTCTTGAAGACGTTTCACTTCTCATCTAAGAGGCTTCTTCAGTTGTGGCTGAATGGTAGTTGTTCAATCAGAACTAAATAAGCCTCTCAGATGAGAAGCAAAACCCCTTCAAGAAACTTTAACTAGTGCCGTTGCCCTTGATTTCCACTTTCCTTGGTTAACTGTAATTTATTTTATTAATACATATAGATTTAGAACATAGAAATTATAATTTAATTTCATGTGAAAAGAATATTTACAATAATCCCATTTCATTAACTTTATAGCAATATAAAGTACTTGTGTTGATTGAGCATGAATAGTCTGTGTTTGTCTGTGTTGCTTGAAGGTGAATAATCTGGGTTGCTTGAACACAACTGTGTAAGTGGCTACCAAAGCAAAAAAATTGTGTGCAACCAATGTCCACTATTCAATTGAGTAAATCCAATGAATTATTTTTTTCAGTGTGTAAACCAACTTTCAGGGGAAAGAGGTATACCAGAAGAAAATACCAAAGAACTGGAGTTTCTGAATCCGAGCTGTTAGTGTGTATGCCGCTAGCTAGCTAACAGCTACAGCTAACATCTGGACAGTCTGTACAGCTAAGGCATTCCAGCGGTCAAATTCACACAAATAATTTTGCTGCAGTCTGAGTGTTGCTCGAGAATATCAGAGGTGCTTCATAAACCTAGCACTAGTAAGTAATTACACCAATGCATTTCTTGTCAACTATAAAATGATCTTCTTTTAATCCAGTGTCTCTATGAACTAATCGAGAAGAGGGAGAAAACCCCAGGCTGACCCAGATCTAGATCAGGGTTCCCTTGCACGGGTCTCTTTGAAGGCTTTTTCTCTCTTTATTCTCTCCCATTCAATCACTGAGTTATGCCTTTGCCTCCCAACTCCTCTTTGATAACTGTTTGTTCTGTGTGGCTTTGACTAAGTAAAAAGCCGTGTAGGAAAGAGGCAGGACTTTAAAGTGTCGAAATATTTTATGTACTGTATTTCTTTCACTGAGACTTGCTTGTGTATCTCTGACTGTGACCCAGAGGCGCCTCAGATGGTGCGTGGATGTTTTTGTTGTGGAAATCGCAGTGTGAAAAGGTGGGACGGAGGGTTACCGCGATGGGCTGTGTTTGTGTTTTGTTGTTGTTTTGTGGGTTTGTCGCTTTGGGTTGTTCTTTTCCTCCAGTTCAATTCCTGTCCCGGATCCAGCAAACTAGGAAAGTCTCCACACCCACCTCTTTCTCCCCTCCTTTATTTCTTTCTCTTTCTCCACACTCACTCCTTCTTTGCTTCACTTCTCAGGAAATAACCTTCTATTGCCTTTTCCAGTCCCAGAGGACTGAGAGATAAAATCCTTCCTCGGTCTAAAGGGTTCTGTGAAGATAGCGTAACAGTCTTCTCTCACAGTTACAGCTCCAGGCTCCAGGGAAGCCCATCTTTCCCTCCTTTTCCCCTCCTCTTTCCCTCCTATACTCTTTCTAACTTTTTCTTTGCCAGATCGGAGCAGTTCTTAGCAAAGTGTGATTTAAAGAGGCTGCAGTGCTGAAGGAGGTGGGAATGCCAGCTGACAAAATCTCCCTCACGTTTTCATGCTTAACCATCCTTGCTGGTGCCACTAAGAGTCCTTTAAGCTTCTACACTTTACTGTGGTGTACTGTGACGTTTTCATGCGCACCTGCTGTCGGTGGCTAGTCTAAGTAACATTACATAAACTTTACCAAGCCTGGCTCCGAAATGCACAAAGAGAAATCCATCATGTCAGATGATGACACTAGAGCTTCAAAACAAAAATTCTACACTGCTGATTCTATCTAGAGATTTTTCGTTTTTCTTACACAGGGATTTAATAAAATAACTAAATCTACAAAAATTAAAAACATAAATGATGGTTTTTTAAAGTGCTATATTGTACTATATTGTACTAATAAACTAATTTGTACAAGTAGTTACTCAACTATGGTTGGGGATAGTGCATCTGCAGTGGACAGATGTAGATTATGCCAGAGCCAGAATGCCTGTGCCATTGTGCCAATATGTGCTAATATTATTATTGCTAATATTTTACATCTCTATGTGCTTCTCTGTGTTCTCTTTACTCCTGCCCTCCCTCCCCCTCCCCAAGTGCTTGCTCTTGGTGGGAATTGTTGGATCTCTGTAAATAATATTACAAAGGGTATGGTCTAGACCTGCTCTCTATATAAAAGTGCAATGAGATAACTTCTGTTATAAAATGGCACTATATAAATAAAACTGAAGTGAACTGAAAAGGACATTACTCTGGGTTTTTACTGCTGTTGTACACAAAAGTAAAAGTAAACCAAACAATCATAATTTTCATTTTTAGCCATCCTACCAGTATGGCTGTATGGATAGCAATATCCGCCTATTGGTCAGTCTGTCACTTTTAGTCCTGACTGAAAATATCTAATTGCCGTAAAATGTTGTACAGATATTCATTTTTCCCAAAAGGACGAAACTTACTGACATAAAACATTTTGCACAGATATTCATGATTCAGAAAGGATGAATCCTAATGACTTTAGTGATCTTGTGACTTTTCCGCTTGCGCCACCAGCAGTTTGACATTTTTGGTGACACATGTCATGAAAAATTGTACACACATCCATGTCCCTACAGGAGCAATTGTAATCACTTTAGTGATCCCCTGAATTTCTGTCTTGCGTCACCATGAGGTCACAATTTGTGCCATGGCTATAGACTCTTCTCATCAAAAACCAACTGGTTTTACTTAAACCAGGATTATTTGTCCTCATGCAAAAAGCCACCATATCCCCATAATTTGCATTAAACTGAATCATAATAAGACCACCTCAAAGTTCTAGGAATAAAAAGTGAATAGAAAAATAAGCTGCTTATTATTAACCACAGTCCTAAGTAAGTTTACAAAAAAGACAAGAATTGTACACTACAAAACAGTTATGTAGCTGATTCTCTTAAAAGAAAAACAAATAATGAGTCCTAAACTAAAATTCTCCACGTGGGTACAGTATTAACTCCTGTCTGTTTGCTTTATTCTACACACACAATTTGTAAGGCACGTGCAGATGTAAACAGAGATATGCATTAACAGTGATGACTATCAGCACTGAAGCAGTTTATAGAAAGTAGCAGTGAATACGGCCAGTTACAGTTACAGTGGCTCAGCACAGACGAGGCTCGATGTGTGTACGTGTGTGTAGTACGTGTGTGTGAACTGTATGTCAGTTTCAGTAGCTCTGCGGGTTGAAGGGGATAGGCCAAGGTGTTTATTTAACCTTATCAGGGGTTGTCATCTACTCAGGTCGGTGCAGAGTGGATTTCAAAAAGGAAACTCCATTTATTACCTTCATGTGAAGCTCACTTCCCCCAGAAATTAGCCTGGTGCTAGAAAAACAACCATTCATATGCAGTGTTATTTGAGCAGAATTTAAGCTTACTCTGGTTATGTAATTGTGACTTATCTTAAACTCTGTGTACCGAGGTTTTTGCTGAAGCGTGTGAATGTGCACAAGCCTGGATAAGACTGAAGATAGAATGAAAAACAGCTGTATTTTACAAAAGTGTATTTTGCAGCTGAAAAAATTACATGGATGTTTGAGAAAAACTGTCTTTGCCTTATTTTTTTTCTTTGCCTGGAAAGATTTATGATCTGAGAGAAAGATGAAGAGGCACTGACCTGTTTGTTTGACCCCCATTCATCTTCTTTGCTATGTTAATGATTCAAACTGATTCTGACACGTGGCACTGCCTCCTCAAACAATAATCGGGGAGCCTTGCCAAGAAGTTAAATGCCCTCTTTGGGTGGTGATTAAGGATGCCGAAGCAAGGTCCCACTTGAGAGATAAAGAAAGACAGAAAGTTGACACAACACTCTGTCATGGAACGTCGTCATTAGATTTGTTGAGGAGAAAATGTGACATGGCGAGTTAATCTGTGTCAGCAAACTTACAAAAATTAGATTAGTTTGTCATCACATAATTCATGATCATTGGTTTGGTCTTTCCGATGCTCTTTTCTTTTCTCAGTTTCTTTTTGGACAAACAAGTCTACTGGACTACTCAGGAAATAAAAAATGATCTTTCATGGTGATATACTGGCTGATGTGGTATTCATTTCACTTTTCTCTCATTGCTCATGTGTAACTCTTTCAAAACAAATTACATTCAATTTGCTTCAGCAATTACATTTTGGGGAAAATTTAATGCCACTCAGACTACGTTCACAGCCAGTGTCTTTCTTTGAAAAAGCATCTGTCTAAACACTGTCTTCAGTAGGTTTAAACACTCACAGTATCATTTGTATGCGGATGACACAATTATGTATTCTTGTGCCCCTACACCTGAGATTACTTATGCAAATTTGAAGTTCGATTTTGCCTCACTACAAGCTGCCCTGTTTGATTTGAAGCTACTTTTAAATGCACAAAAGACCAAGGCGATGTTATTTGCACCTACTAATACTAAAGTCCCAGCTCTTTCTATGTCTAAGGTTTTACCTTTAAAAAACACGTTGAAACTCTTGCTTTTCATTTTTACATAGATTAAAAGCTTGCTTTTTTAGGACTACACAGAAAAAACTGGTTGCAGTATTATTCCTTTTTTAGCTAGATTATGGTGATATAATCTATCAATTTGCATGTCCATCTACACTGTCAAAGCTTGACAGCTCTCAGGTTCATCACAAATGCTGGCTATCAGACACATCACTGCATCTTATACAGTAGGGTAAATTGGCCATCACTCAAATTTCACAGGATGCTACATTGGTAAATCTTTATTTATACAGCTATTTTAGGTCTTTTGCCTTCTTATATCTGTTTAGAGTTAGTTCACATGCTGTACATATGATTTAAGATCGGACTACTTTGTAAGGTACCAAGAATTAGTACAGAAACAGGATAGAGGAATCTGTCTTACTATGGCCCTTCGTCCTGGAATGAACTCCAGTCTAAGCTTAAGATTGGCGCGCTAATTTCCTTAGCTGCTTTTCAAAAACGAATATCTGACATTCTGACAGACATATGCACTTGTTTTTTAATAAACGGTAAGTAGATCCCTACATTTAGTCTTTCTAATTTTGTTTGTTTTACATATTTTAAACTTGCATTTTTGTCTATGTAAATATCGTGTAAACTTTGTGTAAATCTGTATTGTATTTTAATTTACGTAATGTATTGTTTTTCAGCTCATGGTTGAAAAATTGTGTTTTAATTGTGCTATACAGGACTCCCTTGTAAAAGAGACTGTGTCTCAATGGGACATTTCCTGTTTAAATAAAGGTTTATATACATATAAACAATGTTTTATCAAACTGTCATACGAAAGTACGAAATTATAGATTGTTTCTGGCTGTTTTGATGCCTTCAAGGCAGAGAAGCATGTTTCTATTTTCAAGCATGTTCTAAAGATTTATGTCAAAAACACATTCTTATTTCAAGACATTTCATGTGTACCTTCCAATATTTTGTACTATTATATATTATAAGTGTCTCTGCTGCAGCAACAACAACTCTGTAGTACAGACCCCTCATGGATTGTAACAGCAACAACATCCCGCAGACTTTTGGACAGTAGTTGCACTGATTCGTCGCCTACACACTTGAGCAACGCATGTTTTCACACATAACAGGCGCCAACTGGGGCTGGGTGGGATTCTTAGACAATAATTCTCACTGTTCAATGTTCTTGCAGTTGATTTATGATGTTGTTGCATGATTCAAAAACCTGTGGCACGGTCATCTCAGCGCTGGTGTCATCCCACTCATTTCATCTGACAATGCAGGACGCAGGCCAAGTCTGAAGGAAAATCAGTGAGAAGCATGTTAATTGTATTTTCATTGTTTACTGTATAATTCTACACCTCAGGGGTGGGGTCGTAGAGTTTGTTTTCCATTTTTAGTTTTTGTTTATGGAGAATAAATATTGTATGATTATCCAAAATGAAAAGGGCTTGAAGCATAAAACTCAACAAAATGCAAATACAGGATAAACAGATTCCAGAGGGTAGGTGACATGAAAGTATTCATTTTCAAGAGTCAAAGGGGAATAAAAATTCTATTGTTCATGAGCACATTGTAACTAAAACAAAAAAAGTTCAGTAAAGAGAAAGGTCTTCCTCCCTCACCAGCCTTAGCCTTAACCCTGAATAAAGTTTGCATACACCTGCAGTGCTTGACAGATTCTATTTCCTATGACATTGAAGATATGTACTCTGTCTGCGTTCCTCCTCCGCAAGGTCAAAATAATGGGTTCAGTGTGTCAAGCTCATACAGGCTAGACTATACAACATAGTACCAGAAAAAAACATTATGTTTCCAGATGTTCTCACATCTCTACTTTGCGCTGTAATTAAAAAGAAATGGTGTCTGTGCCTCTAGTGTAATATTAGTTAAAAGATAGGTTTACAATTTTTTTATCTTCTTAAAACAAAAGTCAGGTGCCCATATGAACATTGACACAGGTTTTGCTTGCTGTAATGATTCCTCTTGTTCAGAGTGGCTATAAAAACAAGTGATGACAAAGTCCACAGTCTTTTTTCTGTGCATAAATGTTTTCAGAAGTTTATCTGTAGATAATATGTTAGAAGGGCTGTATGCAACAATCACTGCCACTAAATGTTGCAATACAGCATCTCAGGTCAAAACAAATGACAATAATTTCCCCCCCACAGATCATCAAACACACTTCATTCAAACTGGACAGAAACATTATAAAACTCACCAAACCACCACCGGAATATTGTTCTACGCCTCAGCCCGCAGCTACGAAGTAAAACATGAGCCATTATATCGCTCTTGCTCACCACCAGACTCAAATTATAATTTTACCTCACAGATCATCGTAGAGCAAAGAAAGTTTAGAACCATACTGCTATACTAATTATCATATAAATGTTGAAAACGTTTGAGTTGCAGTGTAGAGGATCTGTTTATAGTATGTCAGAAAATAACTGTTTGATATACCTCCCTTGTTCCGGGAACAATCACCTTGTTGTGGTGGAGAGGTTTGGGTATCTCTATGAACCTGAGCACTGTGTTGTCTGGAGGCTGGTGCTCCTGGTAGGGTCTCCCATGGCAAAGTGGTCCCAGGGGAGGGGCCAGACTAAGAATAGTTCAAAAGGATCCATGAAAAATCAAGGAAGAACTAAGCTGTCCGGAGGAAGCCCAGGACCCTGGTCTGGAGCCAGTAGGGCTTACCTCTATGTACAGTTTCGGTTCTGGAACCATAGTCCTGGGTAGGGGATGGGCTCTGTTCCTCTCTGGAGTTGCCCAGGGTGTCTCTGTACAGGTGTGGGGTCCCCGGCTGAAGGGCTTTTTTGTTGTAGTTTAGTACGGGTGGTGGGAAACTCTGACTGTTGTATGTGGATATGCACCGAACAGCAGTCTGGAGTATTCTGCCTTCTTGGAGACCCTGAATGGAGTCCTGAATGGGGCTCCAGTTGAAGACTTCAACGCATACGTGGGCAATGATGGAGACACCTGGGGAGGCGTGATTGGGAGGAACGGCCTCCCTGATTTTAACCCGAGTGGTTGTTCGTGTCATCGCTGTTTTTTGCAGATGATGTGGTACTGTTGGCATCATTGGTCCAGTACCTTCAGCACTCACTGAATTGGTTTGCAGCTTAGTGTGAAAGGACTGGGATGAAGATTAGCACCTTTTAATCTGAGGCCATGGTTCTCAGCAGGAAACCGAGTGCTCACTCCGGGTAAGGAATGAGTCTTTACCCCAAGTGAGGGAGTTAAAGTAGTATTGCATTTGCTCTACCGCACATCTGTGACTGAAAAGGAGTTTTGGGGTCCCCTGCTGTAGCTTCTGTAGCTTCTGTAGCTTCTGTAGCTGCTGGATAGTTGAATGTTCATTGTTCAACGCCACCAAACCCAAACACCACACACCAAAATCTGAGATGAAAAAAAAAACAGCTGTTGTATTGCTCTTCTCAAGGCCACCAGTTTTGTTCTCTGCTTGGGTAGTCATTACCACACTTTATCTTTACATAGCAAATAGTATTTGCTGCTTTATTAATGTTCAGAGTCTCATTAACCGAACTTTAAAAGTACAGGACAAAATAAGATGTTGACCTGGTGATGGCTCTAGAGGCAAAGTCAGGGTGTTTTACAGTTTACCCCTGGGGAACATTAATGTATGTAAGTACCAACTATCGTGCCAATCGAGCCAATAGTAGTAGTATGTAGTACTAGTGAGATATTTCAATAAAAATAAACAAAAAAGTGAACACATGGTGGTGCTAAGGAGGAAAAGTCAGGGGATCACCAGTCATTAAAAAACATTGTCTCGGTGTTTTCTAGCAAACAGCCATCTTTGCAATTACAATGACAGTTACCTGACTGGAAAAGTATGAATGTAAAAATGTTTTTTTGGGGGGGGGGCCTTGTCTTGTTTCTTAGTCTCAAGTTTGTGTAACACCTGGCCAAATAAGTATAATTGCAGTCTGCCTGTGAGTCAGCACTTCGATGTTGTTTGAGTAAATCAGACAAACCGAAGGAATAGACATTAATCCACTAAATATTATAGTATATGTATGTATATATTATACATGACATATATGTATGTCCACAGAATCAAAGATGGGATTGAGCTACACTTTGTGGGTGTTACTTTTCAGTTTGACCTCCTAACCCTGCTCCCCCCTCTCCCCCCCTTAACCAGGAGTCTACCAAGTCAAGCATAACAAAATAAACAGCAAACATACACTGTGACCACAACTTAGAGCCTCAACCTTTCACTGCTCCATTCACAGAAAACCACCAGCACCAGTCAAATCTAAACTCCCGCCCCCACGGACACGCTCAATACACAATCAACCGCAGACACACATGCCATCATCTGTGGAATATGATGGAACTCAAACACCTTTACCACTCCCCTGAAGACAGAGGATATTACTATATACTATTTTATGATCATGATAATCGTCTCACTGTGACTTCAGTCCATAAATGTTTCAGAACGCTGCACAGGAAGTTCTGTAACTCTTCAGAGCCTGAAAATAAACTGCTGCATGCCATTTTGAGAAAGGCAGCATTATGTTAATCTCAGTGGATGAAATAAGAAGAATGGAAAAGCAGCCAAAATCCTGTGGATAAATAAAATCTCAAAAATAAGACAAAACGGCCACACAACAGAAGTCCATAATTGGGGTCTATATTACAGATAATGGTAGATAATGCTTTGTTTATATAAGGAAACATAAACACAATTTCAAGAGTCGTGTCACCTGAGGTAACATCCCTCAGTGCTCTGGCTGTAAGGCACAATGATTTGTTTATGGTTAAATAGCCATTTGTTTACTGAAGACGGTGACCTTTCTCTGGACCCTCACTCTCCGTTAAGCTCTCGCCCCTATTATCTGTGAGTATGTGTGTGTTTGTGGTGGATTTATATTATGCTGCCATATAGTCATCAAATTGCTATCTCATTGTTCTTATGCTCAATAACCCCGTATGGCAACAAAAACACGTTACTATTAATAAAACTGATTTTTAAGCATGTTTTACTTCCTCAGTTCACAGGTTTTTTTGTCATAAGCAGGAGTTTTACACTCTAAATGAAGCAGTAGTTAAACAGCAGTGTCAGCCTCTCGTCGCACCCTGTGTGCAGGATGTTGAAAGTGTAAAACAACAAGCTGGCAGGGGAAACAAGTAAATAGTGGTTAGTCTGTTGCACAACAGCATGCAGTCATGCAGAGTGCTGGAGACAGCGGTTTCGCTTCAGCTCTCCTCTTTTGGTGGAAATCCATCCAGACTGGCCAAAATGTCATCCGTGTGCTCAGAGACATAGAGCGCCATGAATCTTCTTTTTCAACCTTTCTGTCAATATGTTGTATTAAAGGAAAGCTGCGCCTCAGTCTGTTCTTTTGCTGGTCACAGAAACCAGAAATTTGGTGTGTTTCCAGGTTGCCAATTTTCTCCATTTTTACTCGCTCTGAACATTTTGTTTTTCTGTGGCAGAAGTCACACTTTCCATAGCACTATTTCCGTCTTTGGGTTAAAGTGCAGTGCAGACAAAAGAAAGAAACCACTCAACTGGCTAACTTCCTGTTTCTCACATGGTGCCTGCTACTACAGAGGAGAAGCAAAAATGATGTCTATATACTGCGTTTGATTGCAGTGCTGTTACATGGGTGATATAAAGAAAACGCACCCTGGAGAACTTGTTAAGCTATTATGTGTGTTTTTACATGGCTAGAAAATAAATTGAGTATTTCACAAGATGAAAAAATAAAACTTTTTCCAGGCCGGTTTGGAACTAACAGTGAAAGCATGCACATACTATATGTTCCCCTTGTTACCCACTTCTGTTTCATTCTTACCTAGGAAAGGTATACAGGTTACTGGTGGTACACTGTCAATGCTTCAGCCGATTGCACCTCTGAGAGCTTTTAAAGTTACTGTGTTTTTACATGGCTGGAAAATAAATGGAGTGTGTCACGAGAAAGAAAATGCCCCTGTTTCCAGGAAAGCTTGGGAGCAACAGTACAAGTACATTTACTCTGTATATTCCTCTCATCCTCCCAATCCAAATCACTAATAGCTCTCTTCTCCTACTGATTACCCCTCCACTGCATTTTACTGCTGATGAAATGAATAAATCACAGTGGAAATGTAAAAGCTCGTTTAGTCCCCCTACTGTGTCGTAGTAAGATGAAACAAAGGCACATGCAGTCAATGAACACATTGCCTTCATTTCTGCCCTGCAAACCCACCCAACTGACACACACATGTACACCCACACATTGTATCTTTTCATGTCCTTGCCCTTTATCTGCCTGATATTTC